CTCATTTTTTTTGACCCTTCTTATGTATATTGATATTACAATTAACCGTTCTTTTTTTTTCTGTTAATAAATATATACAAATTGTAGTTTTTCTCTCTATTAAACTAAATAACTAACCAAAATAGAAGGTAGTTTATTTTCTAAGACTATGCTTTGTATGACGTGTTTGTCATTTCCCTTCGATGTCATTATAAGCGGATTCTACTGTACATGTTCGTCATGGTATACAATAATCGGTTCATATTTTGTAGAATTTTGCGATTTTCTATTACTACGTTTCGTCAGTACATCACGGAACACTAATTAATTAATTTCATTACTTTTAATACTATTTATTTTAAAATTTAAATATGATTAAAATTCTCGTTTCTAATAGTAGTTGATCGTTTCCTCCAATATTTAGGCAGACTTGAGTTGACCTTTTGCAATTGGCCATACACAAATTCATAAAAATTGTCAGAGTTATTTTGGATTCGATAGACATCAGTCGTTTAAATGTCAACAGTACGACCAGTTTAATTCTGCTAATGGAATTGGCATTTAACAAAAACCGATTGTTTCACTATCAGAGCAGACTAGACACGATTCTTTTTATTAGTCGAAGTTCATTAATTTGTAAAATTACACTAAAAAACAAACAATCTCAGCTGTATTTTGTTCTAATGCAAAGATTTGTTTGTTTTTATTGTTTACAGTTAACTATTGTAATTTTTTTATTGTTATTGGTTTCCTTCAAAGTTTACTTTTTTACAGAAACAATTAAAAACATACCTTTTGTATGCCTTGTGTCAAGTAGTAAATAAAATTATTTATTGAGAAACAGAATTAAGAATCAATTTCACCTATACATTTTTAATAATTTTTTATTAGAATTTTTAATGTTTACTTTTATGTTTGATATCGAAGAATTATTTGTCAATTTGTATAGTGAATCATCACATATATATTTGTCGACTTCCAGAAAAATTATTATCATTCATAACAGCACCACTGATAAAATGGTGAAACCGCAGTATTCTGTTTTATGTAAATTTAAATAAGTTGTAGCATACGGTTTATGAAGAAATACTTTAAATCATGGATCAAAACAGTACAGTAACCTTCTTTGAGACCTTCAAAAATTCTACTCTTTCCCATTCCAGGACCGGCAGAATACGTTAAGCCCCGTAAGTAAGATAGAGAGAGCCCCCACCCAATTCCTTTGTTTTTATTTTTAGAAATGTTTTGATTTGAAATACAGAATTTCCAAAAAAAATTCGTATGGGTAATTACCCACTTTAAAGTTTTCCACTTAGCACTACCTATACACTGAAAATTAGAAATTTAATTATTAGAAGTCAGGAGTAAGTTAGGGAAGCCAAACGGATAACCATTTTCAAAATACAAATCCGCGAAAACTTGGGTTATTATCTAACCCAGGGATGAGCAACACGCGGCCCGCCAAGCATTTCTAAAATTGAATTTATTTTATCGACTTTGAATCGAATATGTTTTCTTCACCATTTAATATCGAAGTGGATACAGTTCTCGAAGACTTTCAAATGGAAGTTATTAACATGTAGAATAATACCGATTTAAAAAATGTATTTTTCTCAGTAAACATCAAAAATTTTTATAAATCGTATGTGAACCCTGAGAAATTTCCGCTTTTGACGAAAAATGCAAAGCAAATGATGTCTCTGTTCGGAAATACGTACATATGTTTGCGAACAATTGTTTTCAATCATGAAATTAGTCAAGATCGATCAAGACTGAGTGATGCACGATTAGAAAGCTGTGTACGTGTAGGTACCTCATCAATTCCGGTTGATATTGATCAGCTTGTATCGAAAAACAGTGCCAAATTTCTTATTAAAAATTTCAAGACAATTCTTTTCTTGTTTGTTTTTATTTTGCATTAAAATTTGTATATTTAATATTCACTCTTTTTTAAATTTTATAATCTTGTTATATGCCCCCCAAACCTTTCTGGCCCTGACAATGCGTGTACAAAATTTCCTCGGCTTTTCTCGCGTTGTTGTCCTAAATACGTGTTAAAGATCATCGACGACCATACAAAACTAAATTTTTCTATCCACCGGGAACACTATTTTTTGACGTGACAACGTCTTATAATTCGATGGAGCCGACTGCACGCACGAAAAAACATGGCTCATGCGGCGTTACCTCGCTCTGAGGCGTTCCATTTAAGGCTTGAAGTGCAAGCGAGAGCGCGGAACGAGCGACAAAGAGGCACAATCGGCCTCCGCGTTCGGCAGCGTTCGACATCTGTCTCTCTCCTACTTGAGTGAGCGATGCGTCCGCGTGGACAGCTGCTATACAATAATACATTTCCATTTACCTCCTTCTCTATATCCATACAAAATATCTATCAAACAAATAAAATTAAAATTTTCTTTTGAAAAATGAAACCATTCCATCACTATTTTCTTATGACGTTGTCACGTTCAACTATCGTCAGTAAACCGTCTTTACAGACAACCGATTTTTTCTAGATAAAAGGTACCCTATAACCTTTTCAGACAATATGTGTACAAAATTTCATGATTGGTTCGACGACCACATAAATATTTTTGTATCTCTCGGGAACAGTTTTTTTTTTCTGTTTTGGTCTTTATTAATTTGAAGTCTACAGATTGTAAAAGTAAAATTTCCCTGGTACACAATAATGCTACTAATACATAGAAAACAGCAGTCATCGTCCTGTGCAAACTTCCCGGTCGTTTTTCATTTTCTAAATTGTTTAGTTTTCAACGCGCGAGGCTTTCAAGAAACAACAAGCAATAGTTTCTTGCGGCACAAGGCTTAGAAATAATTTAAAACAGAACCGATATAACTACTTTAGTTCAACAGCAGTAGTCAATATTGGACATACGCAGGATGTTGAACCGTTTATTGTGAACAATATCCATCAAATTCATCACCGAATTGAGCAAAATGAATTATGAGGATTAATCTGCAATATTTTTTATTTATTTCTGGTGAAATGATACTGAATTTAATACTAATCGATATAAAGGCTTCTATTGGAGTTAAAATTTATATAATCCTGTTTTTTAAAAGGAACATTTAACAGCTAAGAAGAAGAAAACAAAAGAGAAATGAAAGATTATCTAACAAATGCTACTTTCCCAAGTTTTTCTAAAAGAAGCTACAGAAACACTTGGACTAGGGCAAACGAACCCAAAATCAAACAAACGCCTTTTCGAATGCTAAACTATTATCTAGAGATCTTGACCTTTAGATTCTAGATCACCAAAAGAACATAATTTTATTATTTACCTTAAAGTAGAGTGCAGTTTTGTCGCCTTTGCTATAAGATCTTCCCATAAAGGCATTCCATTCTGAAAAAAACAAAAGAAACGTGAATTATTATATAGTATGTATTATGTATAACAAGATTAGAAAATATTATTTAGAAAATTGCTTCTATTTGTTACAAATCATCAACAAACTACGAAATTATTTCGGATTTAGTGATGGATTAATTATCAAATCGGCTGTCGCATTTTTTCATAGCTGCATATTTGCAATTATTATTGCGGAAATTCGATAGCATATCATTTTAACATACATACGAAGCATTTATTACATATTTATTCCCCGGGGAACTTCTACGTACGTATCGAAATGTTGCGGCCAATTTGAATAAATCGTTAATTCCAATTCCGTCTAGGCTTTTATGAAAATGGCTCAGACAGAATCAAAAATAGCGTTTTATTCATATCGACTACTACATCATACGTATGCACATAACTTAATAAACTGGTAATTTCTGATAAAAAATATACCGTTGCTAGTAAACATTTACTTCATAATAATTACTATTTTTAGAAGTTAACCATTATTAGCAACAAAATCTTTATAAAACAGCACCATTTGATATTATAATTTATTGCGTTGCTTAACACGCAACACGGTGTCCTTGCAGGTATAATTCAAAAAGTTGCAAAATAACTCTCGACTTTTGTATTTCCTTACAGAGGAATGGATTTTATGATAAATAATGCATATTGCGAATTGGTAGTAGGCTGCATATCTAAATATGTGAACAAATGATAACTAAATGTGCGTCTGTATATGTGGGACCATCTGGGATAAGATAGTAATTAACCAATTTAATAAATACCACACGAAAGGTATCTAACATAGTACCATACAAAATGGCATTAAAAAATTGTACGAACTCATTTAAAAAGTAATAGTAACAGTGCGTTAAAGATGATACAGAAAATA